TTTTTTTTTTTTTGGTTCCTCGCGAAGTTTACCAGCTTCCTTGGCTTTTTTGTTATTTGCTCTCGGCAAGCGAGCCGGGTTTTGGGTTACGTTTTCGTACAAGTATAGCGAAGTATAGCGCGCCCCTTTCGCTGAGCGAATGAAAGGAAAGTATGTATGTTGGCGTATTTAACTCTCTTCTCCGTCCTGGATTACTTTTCTCGAGTAGAAAAGACATCTTCTAGTTTTCGTTCAGTTATTATTTGGTTCTCCAAAACTGAGACATTTTGGGAATTATAAAAGAAATGTATTACGAGATGACAAATTTTAAGTGGTTCTCGTTTGTGCCATTTTAACAATAAATGAATAGTAGATCGGTTGGGATTAACTTTCTGAAATTTTAAAATCATGTTTAGAAATTTTTATTACGATTGACAAATTAGTTCGAGTCATTTTATTAAGAGGAACATTATTTGAATTATAGTAGTATTCATTTAAATAATTATATAGTACTACATTTAAATAATTAATCCTCCACAACAATACAATATATACTCTGTAATGTTTTAATATTAAAACTTGATAATTTGTTTATTAAAAATGTAACAGCTTGTTATAAATATAATTATAAATGAAAACTTATATATAAATTGAATATAAATATAAATGGAATAATAAATGGAAATTATGACGAATTTAATAATTAAGATAAAAAATATATCTGCATACGACCCGCTGTGACTGTTCGATAAAGATTTTCTTAAACCATACACTCGCTTCATCCGGTAATTCTTCAATAAAGAAGTCGAACGCCGTAAGAATTCCTGCGAATATGGAAAATGAAGAATCCGCGGTATAGAAATATTCGAGAACGAAATGTACTTACGTTTCACGAGAGTGCGTCGCGAAAAGGGCGAGCCGTGTGCACGTAATACGAGTTAGATTCGCGTATTTTAGGGTAAACGGGAGTCGTATGAGGTAAATAGGGTATTCACCGGGAAGCCCGTAGTATCAGGAAGCCATGGAAGTGCCGTTGAAGAAGGTCTAGACGGTCTCTACCGGTAAAGAGTGTGCGCACAAGCGACGATATCGGTATTGCATCGAAAAGGCTTTCCTTGCTTTATATCGTGGCCGAAAAGAAAAAGAAAAAAAAAGGAGGGGGATGGAAGAACGGGGAAGAGAGAAGGAAGAGGGAAACTTCGCGATACTTTCTTACAGGTTAAACTTCCAATTATCGTACCGGCATTAATGCAGCTTTTCAACGAAATTCCCCGGACCATAAACATGTTCACGCCTCCTCGTCGTGTTTCTCTGAATTCTACGGCGACGCTTAAAAGCCAGGGACCACCCATCGCTATCAAAGAAGTTCGTAAATGTGTTATGCTCGTGTTAATAAAATATTTCTTCTTTCAATAGAATGCGTATAAAATAGACAAAATTAGCGATATCCTCTCTCTCTTTTTTTTTGAGAACTTTCCATCTCTTTCGATCGTCTCATGTTATTGTGACATTTTGCTTATGAATTTCTGTCAGTCTTTATTAGCTAGGATATTTAAATACTTTTAGAAAGTGTAAATATTTTAATACTTCGTATTTGTCTTTTTCCTCTTAAGTTGTATAATCAATAC